AAATAGATGTAGCCTCAATCACAGTGTGAAAGACAGGAATGACATTGGGGGATGAGAATGGGGCTCATTGTCTTCAAAATCACACACATGACACACTGACCAGAAAATCAGCCACACACTGCAGAGTTCAACACCAGGCTCGAGTCAGTCTTGACAACGGAGTAACGAAACAGACTTTTTTAGGTAATTTGGAGCAGGACAAATAAGCAGGAAAAAAAGTACAAAACATATGAAGCTTAGGATTTTATGATACTGTTGAACACAGACACAGGAAACATGTCACAAAATTAGTTTCAGTGTTAATTCAGCATCTAGTTAGAATTTCACGTTGTATAAGTATTCATGTTAGGGTTAGGGTTTAGGGCTTGTGTCTGTGTGGATTGTTGTCTAAAACGACTGCCGGATCTTTTGAAAGATATGTTTCTTTCTCGTTACCATTCCATCAGTTTGCAGTGAATCTGTTTCAAATGTAAAATCTCAGGCTAAATGCAGAAAGTGAGAAGAAAAAAAAAATTATGTTCACTCATTTTGTTCTAACCTTTTGTTTGGGGTAAGATAATCCTCTTACTTGAAAAAGCTACATCTGCTTAAGAAAATAAGATGTTTTAAGACATCACAAACACGGAAAATTTGAAATTAAAATAATTTGTAAAGAAGTGAATGTCTTAAGAAAGTTACTGTATTTTACGTTTTATCTCTCTGAGCAGGAAAAATAGACAAAGCACCCATCTCACAACTCGTATACCAGATCTTCATTTTTCCTTTTCCCGCTAAGGATCACCAGATGTAGACGTAATTGTCCAATAAGCCAAATGATGGGAAACATAAATGATATAATTTGGAACTAATCAACTGCTTCTTTAAATGGTGGAGAGAAAAAAAAAACAACAGAAAAACTGATTTTCCACAAAAATAATAACTCTATATTTGCCCAGTAAATTAATGTATATTTCAACATACTACATGCATGATGTGGCCTGTGGTTTGTCTCAGATGAAGTCATTTCCACGGTTCCATGCCATAATTACAAACTCTAAATGTGTCTTTACCAAAAGAATGTCATCATAAGAGTATTTTGAAGGAGTGACAGGCAAACACACCTTTCCAACTAAACACGTCAAGCATGACAAGAGCCCTAATGTTTTTCCCTTTAAAGCACACTCCAAGATAATTGCACACCATTAAAAAGGAAGAGTGCTTTAAGTATCTTAACTGAAAAGGGGTTACAATCCAAAAATCAGCCCATTACGGTGACTCTGGACTCATCAAGGCAGGAAGGTTTGTGTCGAGAAAGATTTGGGCTTTTAAAATAACTATGGTTCCACCACAACATCAAAGTGACATTTTCAATAGTAAATTAGCCCAGGAAATAAAAAGAGTCTGGATTTTACCATTGGATTAGTTGAAGCATTAGATGTAAAGATGAGATTAAAGAACAAGCAAATAATAATAATAAAAATAAAAAGCTGCCTCTTTGTCATCAATTACCAAGAGGCAGCTTTTACCTTGCATTCCTGTTGCCACCGAAGCAGGGAGCCTGTTAAAGCAGCTCTCACTTAATTTCAAGATGTTTTTTTTTCTGTAAAAATATTGATTTTGAAGTCCTATGTATTTTTATTAGAACTGTATTTCTTTCCTGTATTCACACAGTGGAGCTGATTGTTTTGTTTCAGGAATTTACCCACAATGGGACAATGCAGGTTATTTTTCATACAGATGACAGAGTGATGAAAAAAGACAGGAAAGAAGAAAAAACAGGCACATGTTGCAGTTGATGTCACAACATTTACCAATGTCACCATTCCAAGAATTTCTAAAATCGTGTAGAAAATGTTATATTCAAGTTTTAGTTTTATGTCTACGAAGCATTTTAATGGACATGATAAAACTAAACAGGCAAAATAGATGATGGAAATAACCATTTATAAAATAGTTAATAGTTTCATGAAGATGAAGACTCCATGCAAAAAGACCAAAACCAGAGAATTTATCAGTAGAAGATAAATGTGCTAACCAGCGTAGCCTCAAACAGATTACACCACGTTAAACATTTCTGCTAAGCAAGTTTGGCTTACTTCTTGGATACATGGGCGATTATTCGGAACCTTTGACTGACTCAGCTTCAGTTTCACATATGAATGTGACAAATAAGATGTTAAGATGCTCCCCCCTCCAATGTTTCTGTATGTAGGGAATCTAAACCTGTACCGCACAAAGCTATTGTCCTTTTTTCCCCTGTCATTGCTCCATCTTGTTTTTCAACATTGCTTTTCTATGCCTCCTCTCTCATTCTTCTCAATCAATCTTTATCTCCCTTTCCCAAACCATTATCCTCACCTACCTTCCCTCTGGCTTCCTTCTATCAGGTCTAAACCACATTTCCACATCACTTCTTATTCAAAGAGATCCCTTTTCTGTTCAGATGCAGAGCTTTTGTGGCATGAAAGCATTTGTTCAAAATCAATTTCCACTACTATCTTTTATCTTTGCCTTTCATTCTCAGTTCTTAAAAAGCCTTTTTTGCTTCTCAACTCAACTCATTGTCTTTGGTCATAGCGTTCATAGAAAGTAGATTCAGTTTGAATATAGTAACAAAAAAGTTTATGTGATAAGAATGACTGCTTGGTTCAGTGAGTGTCTCAGCTTCAAATCACATGGTTTCATTATCATTTTTCAAATTCATGTTAATTTAGGAGACAGTCTGCAGCTAAATTAATTTGCTGTATCTTTAAGGTGACATCTAGGTTATGTTTTTAATATATAACAACAACAATAATAACAATAAAATAATAATAATCTAATTCCATAAATGCACTTACCCTGGATACACCTGGATTTAACAGCAAACAGCTAAGAGGCTCCAAATGAAGAATCATGGCATGTTAGTTTCTCTTTCACTGGCAACAAGCCATTTACAGTAACCTCAACTGGAGCAAATAGTAGCTTCTAATTTTTTATTTTATTTTTTTTAACAACTTTGTCATGTAGGTTTGAGGAAACAGACTAGTAAAATCAATGGCATGCAATAAGGTAGAGAAAAAAATGTAAACAGATGGCACAGACTACAACAACTAGATCAACATCATCCAATGCATTATTAAAAAGTGGAAGCAAAGTGAAGAGCCATCATTGTCAAGGAAAAGAAATGTGGTTGGCAATGTGGCAGAGTACCTGGAGAGAACCCATGAATGTGCAGTGAGAACATACAAACTCCATGCATGAAGACCCCAGGTTGGGATTGAACCCAGGACCTTCTTGCTGCCAGGCAACAGTGCTACCAATTACACCACTCTGCAACCATTTGTTGAAATTAAATCAAACAAAAGAAAAAGCCTTAGTGAAAGAAAGAATATTCACCCACTCACAATGCAAAGATAACTTAAAGGACTGGGACCAAAGAGCTGCATACCAAGAAAAAAAGGAAGGAAGAAAGAAAAGAAAAACTAATCTGTGAAGCTGAAATGGAGAAAAAGGGTTGCATTTGCCTGAAGACTGGACTCTAGAGCAATAGAAGGTCTAATGAGTGCAGATTTACCCTGTTCCAGAGTGATGGGGGCATCAAAATAAGAAGAGAGGCAGATGAAGGGGTGCACTCATCATGCCTAATGCCTATTTTCCAATCTTCAGGGCAGCACTGCGATCTGGAGTTGCTGCAGTTCAGGCTTAGGCTTAACATTAGAATAAGGAATATCCAAAAGCAAAAGAAGACAAAAAGATAAATAACAAAAAAGCTCATAAGAAATGCTTTGTGAGTAAATGGGTGATCTAAATTATTTGTTAAATTGATCTATTAAAAAAAAAAAAACAACTATGAAGTATAGAATCTGTGAGGACCAAAACTTTTAGCTGGAGATTATAGTAGAAGAAAATAAAAGTCATTTCACTAAGAGAAAAGACAATATGTATCATGCATAGAATTACACAGAAGGTGGGTCAATATTTATTGATCCATAAATATTGATTGATCAGAGGAAACGCAAATATTTTCCTCTGTATGCAAAACATGCTCAGTGCAATGAAAACATTGCTTTAATCATTTGACCTTTAACACAATGTACAACAGCTCAAAATGTGCTGCATATCTTTAAATCTACCTGTATCTGTTTCTATGTTTTTTTTGTTGTTTTTTTTTACAGAGAAAAAGGACAGTTTCAGGATCCACAGCTCGGAACATTTTGGTCATTCTTTTTAAACGGACTATTTCTTGTTTCTGAAAAACCAGGTCTCTTTCCCTGTGGGAGACATCAAGGCGGCCCTTTCACCTGCACCAGCTCAGAATCAACTTGTGTTGTCAGTCAGATCCACGCAGGCTACAGCGGCAACTCACGCTGAGAACACACACACCTCTTTCATCTCACATTCACCCCTCTTGACATTTGCTATCTTCACCTCACTTCTGCAGTGATTGTTTTCATCTCGTTCTTTCTCTCTTCCATTCAGTCTTTTCTCTTAAAGAAACAACTCACATTTCCACAACGAGCTCATTTTTTCTCCCCCTTTTCTATTCTCATGAGAGTTTTTACCTCCATGCCCAGTTTAACAGTTTTCCCTTTTTGTCATAAGTTCTTTTATATTCACCAGTGTCTTTTCTTCCAGTGACAAAACTCATTGATTCAATTGAGTTCAATTCAAAAATATTTTGCCCCAAAGTGAAATGAAATGCAGGCGTAACTCATATCCTCCAAGTATGTTGAAAGAAAGAGTCATTGTGGATGGTGATGCTGTGGGCAAAGAGGATCTCCAATAGTGATCAATCCTGCAACAAATCAGAAGAGGTCTTCCACTGAATATCGTTTCTGTATGATAGTCACATGACTGTCATGGCAGCTTAATCTGCAGACAGCAGAGATTATATTCCACACATCTGCTTTTTGCCACTTCCCTTCTTATCTCTCTCTTGCCGTACAGTCAGAAAGCCGGGCAGAGACACTGGAGTCGGGTATTGTGATCCCGGCCCATTATGATTGATGGAACCGATGGTTTGAACTTCCTCCTCCTCTCTCTGCTCTTTGGTACCGCTCTGTATCCATGGAGCCTCCTCTTCAACTCTTCTGGAATTTCAGGTCATAATTTTGGTTTTACTTGAGCTTTTGAGATGCTAATCCGCTTTTTCTTGTTTTAAAAAAAAAAAAAAAAAAAAAAAAACAACTAATACCCCTTTGTTATGGTGATGGTAAGCAAAAAAAGTAAGTGCCAAAATCCTTTCAACAGCACAGCATCCAAAATCAAAAAAGATGAATAACAATCCAAATATGTAATGCCTCAACTAAAAAAAAATCTAAAAAAGAAAAACAAAAAGAAAAACTCTACAAAAATGACAGAAAAGAAAAAAAATCAACTGAGCTTCTCCAGCATGTTGCTACAATGAACGAAGCAATTCTTCCATTGATCTAAATCTAGATCAGCTAGGAGTGTCACACCTAACAGAACAGTACAGCAGACATACTTCACAGTTTTATCAGTTCATATACCACAAATAACTAATGAACCAAAATATTAGTGCTACATAAATTATACGTAAAATTTTGATTAGAACTGATCCGAGATTAATCCTGCTATCAAAGAACTCAACCCCACAGAACTTTGGTTAATTGTTTGGAAGATTCCTTCACCTCGGCTGGTTCACTTTCCTTAAACTCCTGCCATTTCTACTTCTCACCTCTGCAAATGATAATTTCCATAATTTTACTTGACATTATTCAAATACTGTCATAAATATTTATGCCGAGTTCTAGGAGAGAAAACAGAAAGATACGTGTTGTAGAGGCCAGCAGAGGCTTTCTGTTTCCACATTCCTGGTAATGGAAATTATTCAGTTCAACATTTGAATAAAAATTATTTGCTGAAAGTCAGAAAGCCAAAGTAGAAGTTCTAGACAAATGACACGAGTTTTAATCGTCATCTCCTAAGGTCATCAGCTGACATGAACAATCCCCAAACCTGCGTTTTCTAAAATCCCTTCTAAATGTCTATTTTGCAATAAATTGTATTGATATTGAGTCAGACATTTGTCAGGAAGGGTTCAATTGTAAGTCTTCTCAAACTTAATTCCCTTTAAGTTACTTTAACACCAAAACAAATCATCACTTGGAAAAAAATAAAATAAAATACAGAAAGGACACTGAATAAAAATAATGATGTGCCTTAAAACTAAAAACAAAAAAAATGAATTAAGTTGCCATCTAAAAAGCAATTACATTTCAAGAGTGATCCCATAATAAATTGTTTCAGCTTTGATACAATATAAATATTACATTTAAATGCTCTTCAAGGACTCACATTTTACATTACAAAAGGTCTTGATCCATTTTTCCTAAATAAATATAAATCAAAGTTTTATACTGTGAGGGGAAAAAAACGAGTGAGAATAAAACTGAAGGTAAATGGTCTATTTCCTAAATGAGCAACGTAACTGTAAAGCAATTAAAGGAGAGTACATAATAAAAATATTCATCTCAGCTGCTAACAGTTTTATTGTGTCAGCATTTTTACTAATATCTGTCCTCATTAAGATATTCAAATAATCTCTGCACCTTCTGGGGCACTGTCTCCAAGAGGAACCATGTTCTATTCGGTTCCATCAGCACAGAGCAGCAAAGTGGATAACATGGATCACAGAACCTTTCTCCATGTGGAAATAATCCTCATGTCCAAAAAAGGCAAGGAGTATTTTTTTACTGAGTTTCACAGTATGAGTGGTTCTTCTTAGGGTATGGAATGATTGATTTAACAGGGAAATCTTGTTTCTCTGAATTCAAAAATGATGTTTTCATGGTTCTTTCTAGTGCTTTTGCATTGATGGTTCCGTTGCTGGTGTCTCTCAGTAAGGAGATGGAAACTAATGGAAAATGAGAAAACTGCCGGTGGCTGTAACTGCAAAAGGGTTTGAATTTTTTGCTCCATTTACCCTTCTTAAATGTTCACCATCATGCTGTGATGAGAAGAGATTTTAAGGGGCTACAAGAAATGTAACCCATATTCCTTGTCCACTAAGCTGGAATTTACCTCTAGGAAAATGTTTTATTATTATTATTATTTTCTTTCCCGCGATTTAACAAGATTGAAAATAAATATTTAGCATGATCAAAATGATGAATAACAGGAGTGTTATAATTGTCAGTAATGGTTGCTTTGTAAGATCATTTAGTTGAAGACAGGAATGCAAGGGTGTGAAGGGCAGAGTTTTAACAGGCTGTGCCAGTTTGTAGTTCAGGAGGAGGATGGCAAACTGTCTGAATAAAACAAAAGGAGAGTAGAAGTTAAAACAAAGAAGGACAGGTGAGGAAATAATACAGACAAAATGAATGAAAAGGGAAGGAGACACAGGAGGAATCTGCTGGTCATCATTTAATTTTCTGCTCGCAACTTGTTGAACTACGTCATAGTCAAAGATTGCAAATAGCTGAACATCACCTGCTGAGTTCAAAGTGGAATAGACATTACAATAACCCCGGGGATGAAAGTCAGAGAGGAAGAATAACCAACTGGCCTATTGTTGAGGATGAAAACAATTTCGGATCCTTTGGATTTTGAACTCAGTTTCACAATGCTGACTGCTAATGCCTAGAAATACGACTCAATGAATTACCAGATCCCTGTACTGGGGGTGGATTGGATCATACTGAGACAGAACTTTGATGTAAAAAAAAAAAATTCTTGGCCAGGATCTATTTAATTCTTTTCTCTGTCCACGATCAATTGGAAGCATAACTAAAACAAAAAGACCTCAACTCTCCGTTTTAAGGACAGGGTCAGAATAATAGTGTGCTTTTTCCTGCAAAAGCCTTGTAATACAAACAACACAAAATTAATTTAAAGAACTATGGACCTTCCTGGTCTGATGCTTTGATGCGATGTAAACCTTCTAATCTCGTATCTAAACATTTAATGGGGGTCTTTTAATTGGTCACCAGAACAACACTTAATTTACACTTCAGCAAATATTATGAAATACTTACACCCATAAAGCACATCAGGCTCCAAAGGGTTCAGATTATTTGAATAGTAAATTGGTCGAGTGATCCATCTCTGATGATTCTAAGAATCATACGAATCTTATAAACATACAAAAATATTCTGCAGCAGACACAAATATTTTAACACAATCCTAAATGCTCAACACAACCACGGATTTGCTACAACAGTGACACATGTCAACATTCCACATTATAACAACTTCATCTGGTTTGGATGTGAGCGACAGAAGAGAATAATTTTATCAATGTGTTATTTCAGTTCTCTCTGGTGGCTTTGCGTTTAAAAGGATCGATGTAACAAAAACAAATCACTGCTTCTATGTGTCTTACTTGTAGGCAACCTGCCAACTCAATATTAGGACAGTGCAGCACTAAGGATGACGGTAATCACGAGGAGATCTTCTAGGTAGATTGATATAGACAGAAAGAGAGACAAAGAAAGACAGAAAAAAAGAGCTAGACAGATGTATTTAACATGCCACTCCTCTTGTAGGACATACCGCTCATTGTTCAAGCAGCCTTAATCCCAGTGGCACTTTTTTTTTTTTTTCTGTTGTACCTGAGAAACTGATTTACTGCTTCACAGAGTTTTCACTTTGAGAAAATGAACTGAAGGAAATCTATTAAAAGTCTGACCCTCTGAGGTCAACAAACAAGTCTAGTCTCTGTTCGTCTAGCTCTCCTGCAATAAAGTTTTTTTTCCACAAACTTGGAAAAAAAACAGAGACAACCACATGCTTAAATGGACATAATTTATCTGACAATTTTAGGGAATTTACAAGGCTACAGCATAAAAAAGTGTAAATTCGATAACTATTGAAAACGTAGACATATATTATCATCATCTTCATCATTTCTTTTTTTTTTTTTTTTTTGATTGAAGCACCAAACCGAACCGTAACTTCAAACTCGACTGGTACCGAACTACTATTACACCAGGGAGCAATCTCAAGGGTATGTGTCTTCCGAAACACTTTCAGAGGACACCACATAATTCTGCTTCAGCTTGTCACAACCTATACAACGTGCCAACTAACCATCTACAGTCAAACAGTATGGAGAATGAAAGTCTGTTGTGTTGTGGTATGGAGATAGGGGTCATTTGTTTTTCTTTTTTTTTTTTTTATCTATTACTTCCACTGATTTCTGTAATGCAGTTTGAGTGTTTTACTGTAAAAGTGAGTGTTTTACTGTAAAAAGAAACAAAAAAACAAACAAACCTGAATGATAACCTTTATTTTCTACTTCACCTCTAAACAGTTGTCATTCTTCTGGACAAATTAGCAAACGATACCATACATTTTTCTCCCATCCCATCCTCTCCCAGAGACGGATATAAATCCGGACCCGCATATGCATGCAAAAGTCGGTCAAACGTAATATACAAAGATACAGCGGGGTTAGTTCTGAGCTGCGTGTCAGCTGACATTTTCTGTTCCACAGGGCCAATGGCCTGTGACAGACATTCTTACAGAAAACACACTTTGAATAGGAAAGTAGTTTCTGTTTTCCTTTACTGAAGGCACACTCAAGGATCGTTGCACATTTACATATGAATGATTAAAGACTTCTCCATGTCTAATTTTAAAGAATGCACTTGCCACACTCTTAGCTACTCTGTACATCTGTTGTCTCACCCGATTAAAAAAAAAAAAGGTTTCAAGACTCATCTCTGCTATCCAGAACCTAGATTTCTTCATGGCAGATAACACATTAGAGGCACAAAAATAACATTTCTGTATTCCAGTTGACTTCATGTTGATTATGAAGCTCCTTATTGCTGATCTGCAGAGCTCTGTTGCTTTCTCCTTATTATTCCTGTAACAGTCCAACATAATTTCCACTAATTTGCATATGTGGAAAAAAACACATCGCCAACTTCAGTCTTGTATTTTCTCCCTTTCAACAGTAACATATTTCAGGAGGAGCCCACATGGGGCAGCAAAGTGCTCTCTGGAGATCTGTGACTTCATTTTTTAGGTATTTCGTAGCATTATTTTACATTAATCTTAGATCAATTTTTCAACTGAAGCGCTATTATAAAATCTATATTTAGCATTAAACAAGGTAACCCAGAAATGCATGAAGAAAAATCAATCACAAACCAGAACTGGAGTGAGCAATGTGAATATGTCTGCCTTTGTAACATAATAAAGGGTAAAATCAAATGGAATAAAAAAAAATAAAAAAAAAACATGTAGTGATGTCAGCAGAATTCACAACAGTGATCATGAAGACAAACCATAACCAGTATATCTATGAAGTCATTTTCCTGCACATGTCTGATGTTATGAAATTCAATATAAAAGCACAGCAATGAATCCAGTGTTCATGAAATTTTGCAAGTCATTTAAGTGTAGTGTTTGTTCAATTCACACAAATAACTGAACAAACACCCATTGACAGGGAAAGCATTTAAAATATGTATATAATTGATAACTAGGTGTTAAAACTTTGACAAAAATAAGCTATGTTTATGCTGTTGCACGACATTTGTTATAGAACCTGTAAGAGGCATGTCAGTAAGGTTTTTAACATCCTTAACTGATAAAGCAATGAGTAATGTGAAGAGTATGATTCAGACTGTATGCAAAAAACGCTGAATGTATTCAACTGGCCTGTCTGTTCCTCTTCATAATGGATGCTGCAGTCATATATCTTAAAGATAAACAGGAATCATCATTCTACATGACAGCAGCAACCCGTGATGATGGGATGTAGTGGACTGATGGAAAAGTGCTACGCCCTAACACAGAGAGAAAGTAGTAGTTTGTAATCCCAGTGCACCGTAATCACAGAGACATCATATTCATCATCACATCCAGACATACAGAGACACGGGAGGAAACAGAAGACTAATGCCTGTACAAAAATAAATGCTTCCATCACTTTGCTGACAACGGATATGAAGGTGTTTACTTTCAAAATAACTCTGTCTTTACTTCTTCTTTTTTAGACAGAGTCAATATGTGTGATTTTATCCCCACAGACATCTTCCAACACCAGAACACACTGCATCCTGGCTTTACTTGGTTTCACTGAGTTCCGTGTTCTGCTCTTACAACCAATTGAGAGACCAGACTTGAAAGCTCTGTTTCCTTTAAACATCAGCTGTACTTTACTTTTGAATCTAATATCATCCACATCACCTCCTTAACAGTCTCCACATGAAGGTCAACATCTTGCACACTGCAAAGTCACTATTGATAATGAATCAAATACTGTACCATCCAATCTGCTGCCACCGATATAAAATCTACTTTACCTAGAGCTTCAGAGTGATCAATATTTCTATTGATTATACCCTCTTTATGTTGTTAAATATTATTACATTTTATTGCATAAATATTTTTCCATTAGCCAAATGAGAATTTTTGAATTTGTCAATATTCTGCTCTCCTTATTTGCGTCAATTTAGCAGCAAGTCTACCGCCAGTTGAATGAATACTTGAATCAGGATGTAGCTTTCTTAGCTCCACTTTATTTTGGTGAACCACATACATGTTTTAATATGGAGTATAACTGTAGCACAGTTATAAAATTGTTAGTTTTAATTTAGCATTATTAGAAAAAAGTTCAAACACAAAATTAAAATGCCATATTTGAAATAAATTAGCATGAACTCATAGGCATGGCGTAGTAATCAAATTGTACATTTACTTTAAGTATTCTTCACAAATAAGACATGAAATGAATTATACTCTTGAATATTAAATCAAAACTTACAGATAGTGGTGTAGATGGCATAAACGGAAAGCAGATTACAATAGATTAACTTTCTCACAAGTGGCTGAGTGAAAACTAAAGAAAATGGCTGACTTCCTGTTGCATACCCAAGCTGACCTTCAAAATAAAAGACTAAATAGACTGAGACTAAATTAGCATTAAACACCTATCTCACATCAAGTTAAAGGGCAGAACAGTCACAATTAGCATTATCTTTGCCTTTATGCAAAAAATCTAATGCTAAAACATTTTTCCTTTTTATGACATTTGCTCAGTTTAAACTCCATATAAGCAATTAAGATTGGAAAAGAAACACAAAAACGACAATAGAAATACTCAATGCTCAATGAAAACGCAGTTCACCAGAGCAAAGACAAAATATATGTCACTGCAGCAACAAAATATAGAGAAAACAAAACTTGCAGGGGGAAAACATGTAATGAAGTAAAGCACTGTGGTCTGCAGAGCTTTGTCACAGGCAGGGTAGAAAAAACACTGGTAAAAAACAGATGGAACAAAACGGATTGTGGTGAAAATGTCATTGGAATTATTTGGCACATTATGAATAAAAATAAGAGACAAAGGAGGCTCCAAACCGATAAGTAGCTTAAATTCTCTATTCAGTGACAATGGGAAATTATTTAATTTCAGAACTACAGTAATTGCCTTCAATTATCCTGTGTGAAAGCAATGGGACTTAGCAGTAGACATGTACAAGACCTCGCACTTCAGAAACTATTTTCGCATCATCTTAAACTGGAGTTTAAAAGACTTAATTTTTTTGTGGCTCTAAGAACATACCCCAATATTTTTGGGGGGGCCTTCTTGTTGAATAAAATCAATTTTCAGTATAAACAGGTTAAATGTCTCACATTCTCATTTGGAGTAACATTGATGTTTTATAAGCTTTTGAGTTTTTTGAGTATTAGTTAATTTTAAGACTTTTACATGCACAGTTAACTAATGAAAACCTACAAACATTCATCAACCATCAAGTGTTTTACATAAGACTAAAATAAAACACCAAATACATTTCCTGCTTTAGAAATAATTTTTTACATAAAATTTAGTAGAGATACCCATCTTTGCTCAAAGTATATTGAATATAGCATGCTAGTCTTGCATAAAACAGATGAAAGAAGGATGAAAGCATACTCATACACTTTAATGTTATTTGATAGAATCATCAATATTCAAGGTGTGAGAAAATAAGACAGTCAGAAAAAATTAGCCACTGTTTCTGTTTCATTAGTAGTATCAGCATTTATTAACTATTTATTTATTTATTTATTTATTTTTTTCCAGTCATTCATCCCATTGTATTCTATTCCACAGCTATGTTTTGGGCACACAGCAATAGAGCAAAGTGTATATCTTTGCCAACAACAAAGCTGTTAAAACAGAAACAAGTAAAGACTGCATGAAATCCCATTAGGCAACGTGATAGAAAATGTAATGCTACATATGCTACGGATTATCAGGAACAGGCCAGAATTTGTTTTGTTACGGAGCGGTTCACTGGTCAAAATTTTAATAATTTTTATCCTGGCATCCAGGATTGATACTCTCTCAAATTAGAGGCATTGCATGTATTAAGTCAATTTTCAGAAATTTCCAAGGAGTCACAATGTTGCAAAAAAACAATATTTGCAATAACTTATTTTATGTCTGATATTGCTTAACATCTTCGCCACCAAGAGAATCAATCTGCTAGTACAAAGTACGGAAGAATATTTTATTTTAACTTATGTTTAAAAGTTCTCCAAATAAATCAGGTTCAACTATCAGTATAAAAACAGCACCGAGAAGCAGAGATAACCAACTGTACTAAACTGCATCTGTATCCTGTCAGTCTGTCTTCATCCTTCAACTTAGATACATCTACCTTAGAGGCTTGATAGACAACAGACAGATTGTTTCTGTGCTCAGCTCAAGGCATTTAATCTCACACCTTCCACCATCCGTACCATCACTGAGGTCTTCGTCGCTGTCAGTAAGCATCTACTCAAAGACCAAAGCCCTTATTTGTATTTCCGCCTCTGGCTGTTTATTTCTCTAATAAGACGAAGCAGATAACTTATCTCATAATATTCTTATGGATTCTTTCACAAAGGTTGGTTATTCAGCCATAGCAAAACTCGATATGATGTCTGCAGGAAGATTTTGAGGTGAATAGTCAATCATTTACTTTCTACTTAATCAAAGGTCAAATAAAGGCGCCCGTCATTTATACTACATTTTATTTTAAATTATGGAGCCTTATTATTTTTCCTGTCTTGATGTTGTTCTATTTTTGATCCTTGGCAATATTTCACATTTGGCTTTAAAACTGAGATATGGTGCCAAGTGTAGTCAAGTAGTGTGCTGGCTGCAATTTCTTGTTCAGTGTCACTTGTCAGTTGACCTTGTTCACAACTTAGAGATGCACTCTTATTGTCGATGTCCTATCAGCTTATGACAGATTATGCCAAAAAAACAGATTTTCAAGTTATTTTGGTTGTTTATTTTCTAAGCTGCCACATCTCTCTTGGGGATACAACAGATGCAGTTGCTTAGAGGAGAAAGCAGAAAGCCTCATTTATGCTTTGTATGTTTTGGCATATCACTACCCCACTTTTTAAGAAACCAAATTAGTGCTTTTTTTTCTGCATTATCTATAAATGAATAATGAAGCAGTTAGCAAATATTACAGTGAGACAGTAGATTTTTTTGGTTTCTTTTTTACTTAAATTGATTAGAATGGATTCAAAACTCTGCGACACTATCGATGTAATGTCACCTTACGGTGATTTTAACCGCAGTACAGTATATCAGTTTGCTGTATAACAACACGTAGCAAACAAGTAATATTTGTAATGTTTCACAAACTAATCTAAGCATTATTATTCTATTGGGAGGAACAGAATGATAATTAGTGCTGATCGGTCCTGTGTCTCAAAGCTGTTGCATCTGTGATAATGTCCTTTTGTAAATTTACGCTGCAGCACCCCGTCACTGGAAGAGTTTCCCAGCACCAATCCACTCTTGTGCATGTCCTTGTGCTGGAGTCACGGCAGCTTTGAAGCATTCTTCTGTCTAAGAACCCCCAGTGAGTCGAGGGAGAATACCAAGGCAGAGCTGGCCTTCCTGATCTGTTTTTAAATTCTCTCACCACCTTAGATGCTACGTAGAAGGTAATCAGGAATGCCACTGAACTGTTGTTTCAACCTGTAAGAAAATATTTCTGCTTTTCCTGATTGAGAGTTGACTGGTCAAAGTCATTTTTTAACTTTGACAGGGCAGCTACTCTGCTAATCTGAAGCATTAACGTGTCCTCACAGGTTCCAGGTGAGCCACCGTTTCAGAACAATACAATTTAACCATAGAACATTACTTCAGTCTCTGATTTGCTCTGATTGATCAAGATTTAAGGTTTGTTAAAAAAAAAAAAATTAGAATTTTTCTCTGTGTGCTGGATTTGTGTGCAAAGATTGTCTATTAAGTCTTCTCTTATAGGACCAAAGACAGAAATGTTCAGATCGTTTTATTTTCATTCCTGATAACCTTTCTTGAAATAGATTTGTTTCCCTCTCTTGCATTTATTATACATCAGATTTAAATAAGCTAAATTAGTTAGAATAACGCAGTATGGCGCACGCAGTAAAAATTTATGGAAACTTTGCGTTCACTTTATGAAGAAATCTGTAAAAGCTTTTTGGTTAAAATAAAAATAAAAAAAGCAATTAAACTAAGTTCCCTGCTTCAGTTACCATTTTCTGACTCGTCACTGTCATCTGTATCTGGTAAATGTGTGACCATGACAATCTGAAGAGGAGAATTGAAGCTTAACATCAGAAGCCTTTTAACTTTATTAAACTGTCACATCAAACATTTTTCATATAGCCAGCAGACCTCAAGGGATTTAACATTGTAGTTGGAAGCCTGAGAGGTTGTACTGAGTATTAAACAGATCCCATAACCTCTGCAGGGTTCACCTTGTCCCTCTTTTTCTGTCATATAATCTATCCTTTGGGGCCTGTTAGGAATTATTGCTGGTAGGAGACTAATTTATGACATATCACTTATTAGCGGTAATTTATGACTTTCATTAGGTAGTTTATTAGGTTTTTTTTTATTACTTTTTATTACCCATGTTTGTTGTTAAATTACAGTGAACAGTTTATGAAGGGCTAGGGAAAAGAGGAAGGAAACACAAGATTTTGAACTTTTGTAACATTTTCTTCTATTATTGAACTTTGTAGGCGCAAAAAGGAAATCACATCTCCCAGAATTTCTAATGGATTTCTGTATCTAGTAATTTCACTCTGTAATGGATTTTTTACTTTTCATGACTTCTCTTCTGTGTGAAGAGATGAAGAATTGCATCTGACAAAGCATTTCTTTAACCACTTCCAACCCAAATCCACAAACAAGTGTTTTTGTTTTTGTTTTTCTTTCTTGGGAACTTAATGTTATTATGAAAAAGATTGTCAAACATAACAGTTTTATAAACATGTTCACTCAGCACCAATGTGTTGATCTAATGTGAAATTAACACAGCACATTTTCTAAAATTTCAGAGCATTTCCTTAGTAGTTTCCTAGATCTGATTCAAAATATGCATTTTTTTTATTATTATTTTCATATTCAAAGTGGATTTCCCTAAAGCTTTTTTCTGGCACATGACCACATTATTGTGGCATCTTGTGAGTCAGTAACTAAGAAAGTTACATTCTTTGAGTGCAATATTTATTTAATATGAAACAAACAAAAAAAATCTTTGTAGAGCAAAGCAATAATTTGAATGCGATGATCAGTTTTTCTGAGAACGAACCCTTTTGAATCATTCAATCAATACTTAATGTAAACTAATTTGAAATATCTATTTTGTTTCAATAATGGGTTTAAGTCACATCTCAATCAAGAAGCTTGTTTTAACAGGGTTCATGTTTGTCAACGACAGGAATAAGGATTTCTATGCCTAAGGTTGAAATATAATTACTGAGTAATTAATGTTTTTTTTTTGTTTTGTTTTTTTTTTTTTTTTGTAAAATGAGAACAAGTCAATTATTTATTTATTTTTTTTAAGGACTGGCATCTCCAAAATTCTGTGATTGATTATGTTTTCTTTAAATCGAACACCGAAGCTACCATAGTGTGCCCTAAATGTCTGAAAGGAAAAATACACAATTATTGGAGGAGCAAATATAAACTGTCTTGGAGTGCATGGAGATGAAGCACATAAACATAAGTGAAGGATAAATTTGTTAAACATTCTTGTCTTTCACAATGGACTTTTCTAAGCATTTTGCCAACATCGCTTAAAAAGAAACAAAAATTCCAGACTAGCAGCATCACTCAGTACTACGATATCAGTGTATCAGTTGTCAGTGGTTATGCTAGCCATGTCTGAGTTTCTGATGTGTAGCCTGATTTGTTTTGGCAGTCTGTTGGTCAGTGAAATTATTAAAATTCTGAGTTAGCGACTGTTTATGATAAACAGTAAATGTGGATGTTTACTTTCCTAGACAACTAAAATGATGAACATCAACAAGTGAAAACGTGCAAAAATTCTCAATAAATTCAACTTATTAACAGACATTTTCTTTGTTGCTTTTTTACACCACCTTGTTATGAATGAGCACAGTCTTAAATTTGCTTCTTGGCCAAAATTTAAAAAGTCACTGCTGTGCAAAAAAAATCTGTCTGCTTTCCATGAATAATGACAAGCTGCTACAGAAGTGGTGCCAGCATCTATCCTTAGTTTGGACCTGAACCACAAAAGCCTCAATCTAAAAATTAGGCCTGCGCAGCCTGCATTACAATCCTGGAGTTCATGATGTAAGCTGTCACCAGGACAACAAAACCCAATGGCTGCAGTTCAAAACATAAACCAACCATGTGGCTGTCACCACATGACAGGTGCAACAACAGAAGCAAGCGACAACTTGTCAGTATCACAGTAGTGAAGTGCAGGATAGAGTGGTGGGACTGCCTACCATTCAAGTAAGGAGGATGGTGGAAACTGTACCAGAAGCCAAAACTATATATACTGCAAACATATCATGCACAAAGCCTTATTGAAAAACAGAAACCATCTTACCTGCATTTGAAGGTGGAGTTGAAGCCAATCACGAAACAGCATCCCAGCAAAAAGGAGAAAAAAAAGAGGAAAAAGTCAAATGCAATCAGACACAAACCATTTACCATCTTTAGCTGTAATGTGCATAGGCGTAGAAACGGGGGGACGTGTGTCCCCCAATATTGGAAGGAGGGGTATTTTAATTTTCCACAGCCGTAGTTTAAAGTTGAACCCTCTCCTAATATCTAATAGTTTACATAAAATTAAAAAAGAAAAAACTGCTCCAGTGAATTATATAGTAGGCTACCCCAGTCATTGTTGACTCATGGTTGCCTAAAGCTTTACAAGACCGACTGATTTTAGTTACATTGTCGTGTAAAATATTGAATAAAATGTTATGCTACGTGACTGCCATTATCTTTACTCTTAAATTTCACTCTAAGAGACGCAAAATTACAAGAGGATCGTCCTTATTGTCTCCAAGTGTATTCTGGGTAATACTTGTCACCACCCGTCGACCAACGTCATCATCAGTCTCTTTGCAACAGATGGCAAACTAGCTATAACATTTTTATGGACCAAGTTAACAGGAGTGGAGATCCATGGAGCGGCAAAGTGAGATGGATGGAAAGAAGAGAGCAAGGAAAAGTCAAAAACTGGACGCATATTTTGTTCGTCGTCTTGGAGATGAAGCGGAGTTTTTTGTTGGCAGCGATTCAGACCCGCCAAAACTGCCAGCCCAGCCAGGGAGCTAGGTTAGTTAAAGGTAGCAGATAAATTGTTTTTAACTGTAGACTGATTATAAACTGCATCAGCCCAGCCTCCGAGCTTACATCTCATTTTTTCTCTCTGGAAGGCTGAGTTGTAGTCGCGGTTTTAACAGTTCGGGTTGAGCGCGGTTTTGAGCCAGGACAGCAGTATGGCGTTTATAGTTAAGGTTTACATTGGAGCCGCCTGAGAGAGCGGCGCGCGTGAGCCGCACCGAGTTGCAAAGATCCAGAAGTGCACGAGGCGCTGCGACACGCTGCGCATGCGGCGGGGTCGGCGCGTGCCCCTGCGTGTCTGCTTCAACGCGCACAATGAACCAAGCTCCGTGCTCATGATAAATTAAAACAAATTCAATCATTTCCATTGGCTTGATTCATCGTTTATCTTTTTATTTCTCTCTCTTTCTACCAAAAACTGTATGATAAAAGCTTTCAGGTTGGTGCTTTGGTCTCAACTAAACCTTTTTTTGAAGGACAATTTTATTTACAAATACTTCAAAATTAATTTTATTTGTCGTTTTGTTTATTTATTTTGGATATTTGAAATGTCTTCCATTTGCAGTGTTAAATGTTCATTATAATTTAAAGTTCACTGATCTTTCAGAATGTGTTCTTGCATTATTATTTTGCCATTAACATTTTATTACTTAAAAATGGTCTCGAAACAACAATAATATTGTTTCTCAAAAATCAAAATTTGTTATTGTGACAGGTCTACACACATATGTAGTGTAGTTAGTTTATTACCATGGATGGCATAGTTACTTTTAAAGAGTAATTTGATTACTCAATGAAAAATTTATCCATCAGCTAGAAAATGTGCATCTCTGTTACACATGAAACGCATCTCCCCAAGGAAAAAGAAGAAAGCAACAATATGTGTTTTCTAAAACAAAATTACAAATACGTAATTTGGATACGTAACTTTAATCTGATTATTGGATTGTAAATAGTAACACGTTAGATTACTTGATACAAGGGGTCAGATCAGTGGCGCAAAAAGTGGGTATGCGCTGTATGCAACGCAAAGGGGCGCTGCACTAGAGGAGGCGCAAAAACAATGAGGGGAATTTTTTTCCTCATCAGCATTTTATGTACTTAACAGCAGTTTGTGTATGAAATGATCGATAACAGAGGAACAGCACTGACTAGGCGCCGCTCCCCTCCTGCCAGCCGCTCTGCCCTCCCATACAGGTAGCCTGGTTCTCCCTTCGAGAACCAAGCTCTTCCGTTTTCTTTCTTTTAAATTTGAATTGTAGCGGACTCGACAACAGGGAGCTAAAGATGGGGCGGCAGAAAAAACTCCGGGGCATAAAACAGAAAACGGAAGAGGGGGAAGGATAAAGATGTTGGAGAGACGAAGAAAAGATTTTCAAAGTGGTTGAAAGGTATATTCGGAACTATTACAAGTTTTATAATAGTTTAATACAGAAATCCTCGTTAGCTCATCAGAGCCACCTGCTTTCCTCCCGCTGCAAGGCGGAGATCAGCTCCTCACCACCACAATCGCAGCTTTCCTCCCACCGCGCATTTTGTTTAAGTCTCAGAAAAATCACAATCAGGCCATAAAAATAAAAAAAAAGCCCAAAAGAAGAAGAAATACGTCTGTAGTTGAAAAGCCCATTTCCGCCTCCTGCTCTCATGTGCAGTCGCTCCAACTCACGTGACATGGCGTTCCAGCTTCAGCCTGTCATGTGATTCACCTTGCTGACGTCAGCTGCCTTGGGCCTACGCAACATACGCAGTGGAGTGGCTAGATAAGTAAACTGTCCTATGACGTCACAGAATAACGTAAGATCTCTTGTAAGATCTTGTAAGATGTAAGATCTCTGTTGTTTCTATTCAGCTTCCTTAACCAAGTGCAAGCCTCTGATACGTTTAAGACACTTTTTTGAGGAAAAATTAACAAAATGAGTTTTTTACAAAGAGTTACCACCTGGATCGGAGCTGGATTGGGACTCCATGATCTTAATAGACAAAGCTTGAGAAAAAGCTATAAGGTAGAGACCTTCAGAGACAACAGAACTCTCCAAAAAACTGGAATACTGTCCTCCTTCTGCCCCAAACTGGATCTGGTGAAGAAAACCAGCAGATTCTGCACAGGAGTCCCATTGCCGGCCGCAGAGCTTATAAAATCATTACATCTCCCAACTGAAGTTGAGTCGTCTGCAACACAAACACCCGATAGCGAATTCAGATATGGCAACATACCTTTGCTGCCGCTGCCAGACTTTGGGGCAGGGAGGCCAAGAAGTCCTTTTTAATGCCCTGGAAAGGACTGTTATTCCATTTATCTTTTTAAACTTTGTGAGGCTTTCTCTAAGGTTTTCACAGAAAAAATTGTAGCTCTTAGAGGCTCGAATACCCCGATAGATTCAGATTCCCATGAAATGCCACAATGCATAGCTATTCTTGAGCATTTTTAGCCAGTTTCTTTAGATGAACTAACCTCAGTTATTAAGCATCTGCGGCCGTCAAATTGCACCACAAATTTGGAACAAACTTCCAGAAAACTGTAAAAAAAGCTGAAACACTGAGAACCTTTGAATCTCAACTTAAAACCCACCTGTTTAGAGTTGCTTATGGCTAAATTAGGATTAGAGTAGGGTTTTGATGTCTTTGATGTTTTTAATGTTTTTATCTTTACTTGTCATCTAGTTATTAACTTCTTTTTATTTCTCTTTCACACTGTCTATGTGAAGCCCCCCCAGAAAACGTCCCAGTTCAACGAATCTATATCTAGGGGTGTGAGAATCCTTGTTAAATGACGTTTAACTAAAGTCCTACGGGGTTTAGAGTCCCAGTTGACAGCGTTTCAGCTAAAAACCTAGAGGTTGGAGTCCTTGTCAAACGGTGTTCTTGACTAAAGTCCCAGAGGGTTAGAGCCCCAGTTAAACGACAGTTAAACGATATTTAACTGAAGTCCTAAAAGGGGTGCGGGTTTTAATGTTTTTATCTTTTTTAATCTTTTTCAAAATGTCTCTCTTTCTCACTGTTTATTCAATGTCACATGCTGTTTTTATTTTAATTATGTAAAACACTTTGAAATGCCTTGCTGCTGAAATGTGCTATACAAATAAAATTTGATTGATTGATTGATTGATTGATTGATTGATTGATTGATTGATTGATTGATTGATTGATTGATAACATATTGGCCTTTTTGTTTCACTCATTTTTAATTGCTGCAATTTATCCATACATCAGGAAGGAATAGGAACATTAGGGAGGCAACAAAAACCTAAAAAACCATGATGGCTTGAATTGAATTTCTGTATTTTATAAGTGCATGATTAGGGGAGAGCCGTATGGACATATTCAAACTTGGGGGGAGGGGGCGCCGATGACATGTTCGCATACACCTCAGAAAGCATGCGGTTGCACCCCTGGGTCAGATTAGAGTAATGCATTGATGACACCATTGTTTGACAGTTTTGCTCAAGCTATTTACAGATCTTTCAGGTTTCCGATATGTGCCCCCCA